AAGCTATATTCAGTATTATTTCCCTTTCCCATTTAGTACTTTGTCAGACTATGTTCAACTAAATTGGGCTCAGACCATGTTCAACTAAACTCAATACAATGCCCCGAAATGTCCAAACTATTTTCAGTTATATTCAGATTTTGTTAAGCTATATTCAGTGCAAACACTTCCCTTTTCTCTTGTTCTCACTTGTACACACGCGCACACACATACTCATGCACAAATACTTAGTTGATGTGGCAGTCAAAACCAGTCCACGTGGCCGGTTTCAGTCAAAACAGGGTCCACGCCATAGTAAAACCACCTTAAGCATTATGAGGGACGAAAAGTATCCTGTTTAAATAGTTGAGGGACTGACTTTGGATGGTTTTGAAGTCGAGGGACAATTTCTCAACTTCCAGAAGAGTTCGAGGACGAAAAATATACTTACCCCTGAACATAATCAGCTTTAGAGCAAAACCAAATCCAGATCTCAAGGCCAGCTTTCAGCCCAGGTTCGTTTATGTTGAGAGCAGTGGTTGATGTGCCGTCTTCTTAATCGGGATGGCGCACGCATGGTGTGGATACAGGGTACATAACTGTGATTCGGATATGGGAGATCTGGACCCACATTTTCCCTGTTTTATCATGCAGTTCTTGCCATGGAGCGAGCTCTCGGATTCTGATTTCAGAGCTTAGTGTTTTCTTTTTGATAGAGGTGAAGGGGCGATTCCGGTAGTGAAAACTGCATTTCTGCGGAACACAAAAGCATGATCATCTACCACGCCATAGTAATGCAAATGGTCATGGCAATATGATGACCCGATGAGCTCTTTTGGTAGCAGGGGAATCAACACTATATATATGTGCAAGCGGCAGTTTTCCCATCACCGCACAATCCATATATGTAGGTTCTCTGTTGGGTGGAACAGTCCATAATGCAGACTCTAGATTTTCGAGATATTAGAGTAAACCAATACAAAGAACACATTTTGCCTCACCGGATTTGCGAACCGATAAGAAGTTGGTGGGAGGTGTAGTGTAACAATTGACAAAGGCAGCACTTGAGCGATGTGCACTTCCTCTGCTCAATCGAAATTGTTTGTCCTTCAACATGGGTGATTAGGGGTGGTTCCTTGTTTTCAGAAAAAAGCAAATCCCAGCCATTAAAGCTTGCATGCTGTACTTCGGTACACCCACGTAACAAGTTTACAATTTTTGAGACAGACCATGGTGCAGATTAGAGCTTTGTTCTTCATTGTAATAATCAAGATCTTGCCATACAGTTACTGAAGATTGGTCGAGCTGGAGCATGGGCCAAAGGCAGCTCATGGAAACTGAAGGATCTCTCGTCCGCGAGCTGGTCAATGAGTACTGGTCATACACATCAAACGGGAACATTTAGAAGAGATCCTTGGTGGTGTGTGTTTATTGATGGTTCCTTGACAAGAGAAAACACCATATATAGTAATTAATCTCTTGACATATACCTCAGAGGGATTTATCCATTTGAGGTTTGAAGAAAATATGGTGCCATCTTTCAGTAATTTCCGGAAATTATTTTGCCTTCTACCGCTACCAGAAATTTTGCGATCATATGGATGGTTCCGTTTTTTTTTTCCTTTTCCTCTTTTTCTTTGGGATATGGTTCTGTTGACTCCATTCAGGCTGAGGTGATGTTTTTCGAATTAAATCGCTCTCCGTCAACCATGCATGCATGTGTGGAAGGAAAAATTAGGGAGAATCTAGTGGAGAAATTTGATACGATCTCATCGTTGGAGAAGGAAAGCTTGGCGTTGATCTCAGATGCCTGTTTCCACTTAACAGGGCTATCAATGTTTTATTATTCTTATTATAGAGTTATCACTATCAGTGTGTTATTATAAACTAATTCTCGAAGCACATCAATAGCCTAAACTTGTGGTAATTGGAAGACTTGGAAGTACACAAACTGTAGCAACATTTAGTTTGTACTTATACACGAGTGATGCTGACGGAGGACAACAACTATCTGATCATAATTTGGAAGGTGCCTGAGACTTGAAGAAATATAGCAGCCAACCAATAATTGTTTATTTCTTTCACAATATACCACCAACAATTGTTTGTTTTTGACAATAGAGTGCCAACAATTGTTTGTTCTTTGAAACGCATGGACAATGTGCTATTATTGTAAGTTTCTACTCCACGTTTCTTAGTTGCCTTTGAACTGCAAAAACGTCTTATATTTTGGACATAAATAGTATAACAATTGAAATTTGAACTAAAATCACACTAATGAGCTACAAAACCCGTGAAGCTCATGGAAACTGAAGGATCTCTCTTTCGCGAGCTGGTAAATGAGTATTGGTCATACACATTAAATGGAAACATTTGGGAGAGATTCTTGATGGTGTGTGTTTACTGCTGCTGCCTCGACAAGAGAAAACACCACGTATAGTAATCTCTTATACATACCTCAGAGGGATCTATCCATTTGAGAAATCAAGAAAAATACGGTGCCATCTTTCAGTCATTTCCCGAAATTATTTTGCTCTCTACCGCTGCCTGAAATTTTGAGATCACTAGTTGAGTGCTTGTGCTTTGCCACGGAATAGCAAACTTACATGTTGCTCACCAACGTTGCCACATGAATTCTGTTTCTTTTTCTTCGTGATATGGTTCTGTTGACTCCATTCAGGCTAAGGTGATGCTTTTCAAATTAAGTCGCTCTCCGTCAACCATGCATGCATGTGCGGAAGAAAACAAATTAGGGAGAATCTAGTGGAGAAGTTTGATACGATCTCATCTCATTGGAGAAGGAAAGCTTGATGTTGATCTCATATGCCTGTTTTGACTGAACGGGGCTATTGGTGTTTTATTATTCTTATTATTGGTTTATTATCACTATCATCGTGTTATTATTAACAAATTCTCAATTATTTTTGGAAGCACATCAATTAGCCTAAAGTTGAGGTATTGGAAGTGCACAAACTGTAGCCACATTTAATTGTAGCATTTAGATTGTACTTATGCACGAGTGATGCTGACGGAGGACAACAACTATCTGATCAAAATTTGAAACGTACGTGAGATTTGAAGAAATATAGCAACCAACAATTGATATCTTTGACAATAGACTACCAACAATAGTTTGTTTTTTCCACGATTTGATTGTTTTTTCGACAATATACCACCAACAATTGATTGTTTTTTCCACGATATACCACCAACAATTGTTTGTTTTTTGACAATAGACTACCAACAATTGTTTGTTTTTCCATGATATACCACCAACAATTGGTTGTTTTTTGACAATAGACTGCCAACAATTGTTTGTTTTTTGAAACGCATGGGCAATGTGCTATTATAGCAAGCTTCTACTCCACGTTTTTGTAGTTGTCTTTGAACTACAAAAAGTTTTATATTTTGATACAGAGACATAGTATACCAATTGGAATTTGAACTAAAACCGCAACAATTATTATGAAATTTGAACTAAAACCATTGCAATTCTTATGGATCGGAGGGGTTTTATTTTTTAGGAAAAAACACTACATTTTTTAACACGGTAGAGACACTGACGACCATATATACGCACATATGCTCATCCCTATGAACATAAGCACGCACATCCTGCCCCTATGAGCACCTTCGACATACTGAGCCGGTGCATCATCTTGAGATTGACGAAATTGCCACGAACGGCTTCGTAGTCGATGTCAACGTCTTCTTCCACTGAACGCATATTGTCGAAAGGCTTGAAATAAATTCAAGTAAATGCGAGCACCAAAGTCATCAAGTCTCAACTGAATCCTTATGGGTCGGGGATACCACTGTAACCATCCAACCGCATGTGACATAAAAAAATCTAGGCGCGGGTTGGTTAAACAAAAATGATACTACATGTATTCCCCGAAGAGAAAAGTCAATCACCCCGTACACGTGTACGGTTACCAGGGTGGGTCGTCGCGGTCGGGAGGGTAGGCTGGCGGCGGAGAAGCGATGCGGGGCACGGCACGCGCGACAGCCACATCCCCGGGTGCCGGCTTGCCACTTTTCCACTTTTCATTGAATTTCGAGAAAATCTTTTGTTGCCCGCATACTTTTTAGTAAACTGAGTGTTAGCATGTGCTTCAGGGAGTGGCATTGAGCCCGTTGGGCGTGTCTGATGATTCTTCATGAGAAGTTCATCATGTTTCTCAGCCTGAAGTAAAGTGTATATGAGATGAGAACACTTTTTGTATTTTTGTTGACGGTACTGCTGTTGTAGTACTCTCATCGAGGGGTGGAAAGTGCACAAGGTCTTCTCAATAAGGTCTTCTTCGAAAATTGCTTGATTGCAAAACCTTAGTTTTGAGTTAACCTTGTGAACTGCAGAGTTATATGCTGCCACAAATTTGAAATCTTGAAACGTTATGAGGGACCATTCTCTCTGTGCTTCCGACAGCATAACTGCTCTTTGTTTGTCATATCTCTCCTTGAGAGAGTTCCACAAAACTAGTGGATCTTCTTCCATCAAATATTCCGACTTTAAATCCGGAAGGAGATGGTGCCTTAAGAAACTTAAAGCGGTATAATTGGCTGCCGTGGGGATTTCTCCGGCGCCTTCAATGGGTGTGATGATGGTGGAACCGAGTTTACGACTTTCAAGGGCTATCTTTGCATCCATAGCCCATGGTAAATAGTTACTACCATCTAGTTCAAGTTCATGAAATTCTCTGTTCATGACGCCAGCCATTTCCTTTTCTTGTCCTTCCCCGTGATGGCTTTATCTCTCTTTTTGCAGAGCAGTACTGATAACGTGTAAAAGTAAAAGTGATTGTACGAATGATCTGATGCTTTCATTGATGGAGAATCACATATTTATACAAGATTTGGGACGCATTGTAAAGGCGTCTGTACAAAGAGGCGCCTGTAGGGACAGATGCTTCTAACTATGTTTCCTAACGACGATTCGCTAAAAACACTTCGTCGATGTGAGGTCATTGCTATCAGCAGCTATTTATAAGAAGCAACAGAAGCTATCAAACTCTGCAAAAATGAAGCACTCTTCTGGACAGATTATGAACTATGTGACAGTTGATGCCTACAGGGTTGGGGAATTCCCGTACTGGTTCCACCAAACATGGACAACAACTATTCAACTTTGCATTGCTCTGGCAATTCTGTACAATGCAGTTGGTGCTGCAGCGGTCTCATCATTCGCTGTTATTGTTATCACCGTAGTTGGTAATGCTCCATTGGCGAAACTACAGAACAAATTTCAGAGTAAGCTTATGGAAGCACAAGATGTGAGATTGAAGGCCATGTCTGAGTCATTAGTTCATATGAAGATCTTGAAGCTTTATGCATGGGAAGCTCACTTCAAGAAGGTCATCGAGGGGTTGAGGGAGGTTGAGTATAAGTGGTTGTCAGCATTCTTGCTTAGGAGGGCATACAACAGTATCGTGTTCTGGTCATCACCTGTTTTAGTTTCAGCGGCAACCTTTCTAACATGCTATCTTTTGAAAATCCCTCTTGACGCTAGCAACGTCTTCACGACTGTAGCAACTCTGCGTCTTGTGCAGGAGCCAGTTAGATCAATACCAATTGTTATCGCAGTTGCAATACAAGCCAAGGTTGCTTTCACTCGGATATCAAAGTTTCTTGATGCACCTGAGCTGAATGGGCAAGTTAGGAAGAAATACCGTCTGGGCACCGATTATCCAATAGCGTTGAACTCATGCAGTTTCTCCTGGGATGAGAATCCATCAAAACCAACTCTAAAGAATGCAAATCTGGTGGTCAAAGCTGGAGAAAAGATTGCAATTTGTGGAGAAGTGGGATCAGGAAAATCAACACTTTTGGCTGCTGTACTCGGAGAGGTCCCAAAAACTGAAGGCACGGTATGCTTTTCTATTGCCTTCATCTTTTTTATGAAGTAGAAAATCAAATGGCTGTCAATTTGTGAGGTTGTGTACTTCTGTTATCCCTTTTGAGTTTTCTCATGCACGAAAAAAGCTGTTGCTCTTGTAATTTGTTGTTTACATTCATTATGTTCCTTTTTTTTTATCAGCTTGCGGATTTTGTATCATGATAAAATTTGCCATTGTACTGCAAGGACAAGTGCCATATTCATCGCACATTGGGCAACACAATATTGCTCTGTGTGGTTAAGAACCTTAAGTCGGCTAGTTTTCAATTCCTTTATCAAAGTACCGCCTGTTAACAACTGCATCTTGTTTGATTTCGCCAAGTTGTTATGATAATTTTGGTTGATAATAGTTGTCATCATAAAGTAGACTCGTTATTTCCTTTTCCGTAAGAACTTAACATCAGATCATTAATCTTTGTGTACGTATTTCAGATTCAAGTCTGTGGAAGAATAGCATATGTTTCTCAGACTGCATGGATCCAAACAGGATCTATACAAGATAATATCCTCTTTGGATCTTTGATGGACAGACAAATGTACCAAGAAACACTTGCAAGGTGCTCGTTGCTCAAGGACCTTGAAATGCTGCCATTCGGCGACCTTACTCAAATTGGGGAGAGAGGAATAAATCTTAGTGGTGGTCAGAAGCAGCGTGTTCAGCTTGCTCGTGCATTATACCAGAATGCCGACATCTATCTTCTTGATGACCCTTTCAGTGCTGTCGATGCCCATACAGCAACAAGTCTCTTTAATGTAAGAATTGTATCAGTAGGAGCAGATTGTATTCCTATCTTATTATGAATTTGTGTAATAAACCTCTTACTTGTGTGACAGGATTATGTCATGGGTATTCTATCAGACAAGACTGTTCTTTTGGTGACCCACCAAGTGGATTTTCTACCCGTATTTGACTCCATTCTGGTCTCTCTCTCATGACTTAATATATTTTGTTTGTAGTGAGCTGTATATATGTCTGTCGATTTCATCTAAAACTAGTGATAATTTTTGGCAGTTAATGTCAGATGGGGAGGTTATTCGGTCTGCACCTTATCAAGATTTATTGTCAGACTGTCAAGAATTTAAATACCTTGTAAATGCCCATAAAGATACTACTGGTGTTTCAGATCTTAACAATATGGCCCGTCACAGAGCAAAGGATTTACCAATAAAGGAGACAGATGGTATTTATGGAAACAGATATATAGAGTCTGTGAAGCCATCACCAGTAGATCAACTGATCAAAACAGAGGAAAGAGAATCAGGGGACGCAGGTCTTAAGCCTTATATCCTATACCTGCGCCAGAAAAAAGGCTTCCTGTATGCCTCCCTTTCTGTCATGTCTCACATAATTTTCATAGCTGGGCAAATATCACAGAATTCATGGATGGCCGCTAATGTCCAAAATCCTGATGTTAGTGCACTGAAGTTAATTTCTGTGTACATTGTTATTGGAGTTTGCACGGTGTTCTTTGTGCTATCAAGATCTATATTCTTCGTTGTTCTTGGGATGCAGACTTCAAGATCCTTATTTTCCCAGTTACTTAATTCATTGTTCCGTGCACCCATGTCCTTCTTTGATTCTACTCCTCTAGGCAGGGTTCTTAGCCGGGTAAAAATTCTGAAACAAACACAACTATATAAACTACAGTTCAGTTTAACATTACAATGTTTTATAATAATGGATTAACCCTCCCCCCAACTTGCAGGTCTCTTCAGATTTAAGCATCATTGACCTTGATGTTCCATTTGCATTGATGTTTGGCTTTAGTTCCAGCTTAAATGCGTATAGCAATCTGGGGGTATTGGCTGTTGTTACATGGCAAGTTCTGTTTGTATCATTGCCAATGATAGTTTTGGCAATTCGGTTACAGGTAATCGTGTGGCCTTTTTCTGTGTAGTGAAACGCCTAAACCCCCTTTCTTTGGTTATTTCATTCACCAAGCGATATGCTGCTATTTTCACCTAGGAGGTAAAGTTCGTCTACTCTTTTCGTTTCACAATTCCCGTTGGCTGACATTTCATATGTTTGTTCATGCAGAGGTATTACTTAGCATCGGCTAAGGAATTGATGCGTATCAATGGCACTACCAAGTCTGCTCTAGCAAATCACTTAGGTGAATCGATCTCAGGGGTTATAACAAATACGTGCCTTTGAGGAAGAAGATCGTTTCTTTGCTAAAAATCTGGAGCTAGTTGACAAGAATGCTGGTCCGTACTTCTTTAATTTTGCAGCAACTGAATGGTTGATTCAACGTCTGGAAATAATGAGTGCTGCGGTTCTTTCTTCTTCTGCTTTTGTCATGGCTCTTCTTCCAGCAGGAACTTTTAGCCCTGGTATGTAGCTTATTCCAGGTACAAGCATCACATAATTGTTTCATGTGCTGCACATATTTATGCCAGCTTACAAGCTGTATGACGATTGATCACTGCATTCATCTGATTTGCAATGAATCGTTATTTGCACTGCAAAGGCTTTTTTTGTTTGTTTCCGTAGGCTCCTGGTATTAGGTGTTATGAAGGCTCTACTTCGTTATGAAAGCCTACTTTCTTTATCGAATAGAGTTACAGAATCCTTCTGCATAATGGTGAATGGCTCAAAACCCTAGTGGAGGATACCCAATTTTCCGTTTAGTAACACGTTATACGCTCAATGTCTATGTGCCACTGTCATTGTAAATATACATTTAATATGCACAGGATTATAAAGAAATCAACATTACCCTCAGAAAACTAATTACTTTTTACCATACTTGACACAGGTTTTGTTGGAATGGCATTGTCCTACGGCCTTTCCCTAAATAATTCTTTTGTTAGTTCTATTCAAAAGCAATGTGACCTTGCAAACAAAATAATATCTGTGGAACGGGTGAATCAGTACATGGACATTCGGAGTGAAGCAGCAGAAGTTATTGAAGAAAACCGACCAGCACCAGATTGGCCCCAGGTTGGCAGTGTGGAGCTTAAAGATTTGAAGGTAATCGAATATGAAATTATGCATGTATGCCTGACTAGGCGAAACCCTTCAAATATTCTGACAGATGTGTGTGGTTGATTTTCATTTGACAGATTAGGTATAGGGAAGATACTCCCCTGGTGCTACATGGTATCACTTGCAAGTTTCAAGGTAGAGATAAAATTGGCATAGTTGGTCGAACAGGAAGTGGCAAGACAACTTTAATTGGTGCATTGTTTCGCCTTGTTGAACCTGTTGAAGGGAAAATAATTATAGACTCTGTGGACATCAGCACAATAGGCTTACATGACCTGCGTTCACGTTTGGGCATCATCCCACAAGATCCAACACTTTTTCAGGGTACAGTAAGATATAATCTAGATCCTATTGGGCAGTTCTCAGATCAACAAATATGGGAGGTAAGCTGTGTAATATATCTACAATTCAGAACAGTAAGCACCTTATCTGATTGGGATGAATAAACTGATAAATGGGCCTGTCAAAAGACATGTTACCATTCTATTTTTATATGCCATACGTGCATTTGAAAAAAAAAACCCACTAAATTGGTTAATTCATATGCTGTTGGGTTGCAGGTTCTTGACAAATGCCAACTTCTTGAAGCTGTCCAGGAGAAGGAACAGGGATTGGACTCACTTGGTAGGAAACCTCACTGTTTATTTCTGGATTTCATTTTATGTCCCTAAGAAAATAGGATAACATACAATTCTGCTTCAGTCTTTTCATTTTATGCCCCTAACAAATTAGAATACATGCGCCAATAAATCAGTCAAACTGCTTGTAGTCCTAGGCGTATGGGTCGGATCGGTTTGCTAGCATGATGTCTGGAATTGTGTTCTTCATCGTACTAATTAATATCTTGCCATACAGTTGCGGAAGACGGGTCAAACTGGAGCATGGGCCAAAGGCAGCTCTTTTGTTTGGGGCGCACACTTTTGAAAAGGTGTCGTATCTTAGTTCTTGATGAAGCCACGGCCTCTATAGACAATGCAACAGATGCCGTCCTTCAGAAAACGATCCAGGCAGAATTCAAACATTGCACCGTTATTACTGTCGCACACCGTATACCAACAGTGATGGGCTGTGACATGGTACTTGCAATGAGTGATGGTATGTTCCTCTTATTGCCAACTTATTGGTTCTGCAGCATAGTATTCCATAGTAATGTGGGAAAGTAGCAGAGTATGACAACTTGTTGGTTCCGCAACCTATTGGTTTCTCTTATTGCCAACTTACTGGTTCCGCAACTTATTGGTTCCGCAGCATAGTATTTCATACTAATGATCTGCATACATTTCCAGGGAAAGTAGTGGAGTATGACAAGCCCATGACGCTCATGGAAACTGAGGGATCTCTCTTCCGCGAGCTGGTCAACGAGTACTGGTCATACTCATCGAACGGAAACGTTTAGAAGAGATTTCTTATGGTGTTTGTTCACTGCTGCAGTTTCCCAGGAGACATGCTAGAATCAGTTTCAGAAAAGGATATGCCGGCCTCGACAAGAGACCAAGAGAGATGCAGTAATCTCTTGACATACCTCTATTTGAGATGTGAAGAAATAACAGTTCAATTTCAGTTATTGCCTGGAAAATTCTTTTGCTATCAACCTGAAGTTGTGAGCTACATATAGTTTAGCTTATGCTCGTTGCTTATGCTCGTTGGGTGTTGCCACTCTTCAGAAGCGCCGATGCTGAATAGAATAAGCCCATGAGCATTTCTTTGCTCCAGCAATCAGATATAGAAGGCTATCTGAGAGGAATTTCAAATGTGTAACCCTGCTGTCAGCATCGAGAAATAAGGGATCGGAGGCTTACCGAGCGCTCTCAGAGCTTAGCGATTTCTGGCCGTTGGATCATTTTGCTTGATGCGTTTCAGACCGTTCGATCGATGCGGTGAAAGATTCTGGCCGTCGGATCGACCCACCGCGCCTATAGCAATGAATAGTTACTGCCCTCTCCCGGTCTCTCTCACTTCGCGGACTCGTTCCGGTCTCGCTGGCGTGTGGGGTAACCAGCAGATGGGGCCCGCATGTCATTTGCTTGGGCTGGGGCGTGTCCTGTGCGGCCCGTCGGCATGCTCGGCTGGTAAAAGATCCCATGCCACCGCCGAAATTTCCCTGCCCTGCCGAGGGTATTTTGGGGTTTTCCGGCGGTGGCACTGTGCGTGCTGTGCGCTGGTTGGATGAGGGAGTCCATGAGGTGGGGGGCACCCAGCGCGTCATCCTCTCTGCTCCTCTCCTTACTTCCCCCTCCTCTTTGCGCCCCACTTTCCTAACCCTAGCCCATTCCCTCGCCCTCCCCTGCCGCCGCGGCCGCCCGTTCCCTCGCCCTCCCCTGCCGTCGCATCGCCGCCTTCGCCGACTCGCCCTCCCCTCCTTCTCCCCAGCCGCCTCTTCCGCTCGTGCTGCGGTCGCCATCCGCCTCTTCCGCTCGCCCCGCGGTCGCCATCGAGGGCCTGTCGCTTGCGCCGCCGCTTCCCCGTCGAGCTCGCGCGTCACGCCTCAGGAGGAAAGGAAGCCCACGCTGCTATTCCCGGCGGAGCGCGCCTCACGCCGTCGACGGGAGGATGCCAGGTGGAGCTCCGTCATTGGATCTTCCTTGGCGGCGGGCCAGCGCCAAGGAAGGTCACACCGGGAAGCGGCTCATCCTCGGCGGCAAGCCAGTGCCGGATCTGGTGCCTAACGCCTGCATCTCACGCGTCACCAAGTCGCCGACGGGGGTGCTGTGCTGGCCGGTCGGAGGCCGAGCTCGCCTCGGCCACCAAGTTGCTGTCGGGGAACACAAAGTGCCTCGTTTGAGGACCTGGAGGTGAGCCCCCGTCAATTTTTTGCTTGCTTGCTGTTCACCTTTTTTTTGTAAACTGACGTACTGCACTCACTTGATACAGTTCCTTTGAGATCAGCTGATTGATAGTTCATAGTTCGGCCAGGCTTTAGGTTAATGCAAGTCTTCTAATGACGTCCCTCTTACAAAAAGCATACAGTTATCCAGCAGAGTCTACAAATCCGTAGTTGATGTCCTCTTGTGTGTTATGTAACTTCTGAAACAGCAGAAACTTATTAATTTTGAATAAAAGCCTCTAAGGAATACAAGTTAGGAATAAAAGATTGTTGCATCGAAGAGCAGTAGCACCTCCTTGTCATTGTCCATACCTGTTGATATGTAGTGCATGATCAACTACACTGCAAACATCTGCAAATATTACCCTTGGGTTAATCAATGTATATTTTACTCCAATTAGTCATACATCTTCCATTTTTTTGTTTACACATGTATGACATATGGTTAATCACTGTATATTTTACTCCAATTAGTCATACATGTTCCATTTATTTGTTGCTAGAGGTCGCTACAGCATGGATGTGAAGGGCATTGAAGCAAGGTGAGCCTCCGCCTCCCCCTCCCCATCTTGCCCATGAGGCCATGACCCCGCAATAGACGTGAGTTTTGAACATTTTCTCCTCAATTGTTTTATGACTGATCCTTTTTGGTGTCATCAGATGGTTTCATGCCCTCCTCTTGCAACAGATAAATTTAACCAATTACAAAGCTATAGAAAGTATTCATTTAGCATTAAAAACTTATACCTTTTGTTTTAGAGAATATTTGAGTATGAAGCAACGAAGGATTATTTTGTGCGCCCGTATACTCTGTAAAAGTTTGGCAATGTGCATTTTTTCATTTAAGAGTTCTACTTCTTGCAAGATAAGGCAAAGTGGCAAGCTTCTCCATTTGTATATCCATGTGTTTTTTCCTAGAAACGATGGCTGCATGTTTATGTTTTACTCCATGACTATAGTTTTACTCCATGACCACACTGTTTCTTGTAGGATCTAGCTACCTTGAGGTGACTTAGGATCATTGGTGTGTCATTTTTTTTAGTTATTTTGTCGATCTGATTTTATGTTCTTCCTCAGTGAAGGCAGGTTAGAGGAAGTTGAATCAAGACTGTATGTTGCAACAACGTACCTAGGCATGTTGTATGTATTATCCTGCTGTTGGTGATTCAATGGCATTTTTCAGTTTTATTTGTAGTGAAACTCAATGGAGTGTTGAGAGCATTTTCCTGTGCATGTACTCATCTTGGCCGCCAAGTTTCCTAATACAAACTCATTCAACCACGTATATGTCTGCCCTGCACGCGGTTGATGTTTAGTTCTTTGGTTTTTGCATATGCAAATA